CCACTTTCCAAATGACCGTGAACGAAGCATTCCGCCCACTTTTAGATAAGTGCGTCATCGTTTATCTGGACGACATACTGATTTACAGCCCTGACAGAGCACAGCACTTACAAGACATCGAAGTAGTTTTAAAAATCCTGAGTGAGAACCGCCTACTGACCAAAGCATCTAAGTGTGAGTTTTTACAGGACCGCCTGGAGTTTTTGGGACATGTTATTTCAGCTGCAGGAGTGGAAATAGACCCGAAGAAAATTGCGACGATTCAGGCTTGGCACGCGCCGACCAACTTGACCGAGTTGCAAAGTTTCCTGGGGTTCGTCAACTACGTGCGCCGGTTCGTCCCCGACATGGCGAAGCTGACTGCCCCTGTTGACCGACCTGCTGAGGAAGGGGGTTGAGTACACGTGGGGGGAGAAAGAGCAAGCTGCCTTCTCGGCTCTCAAAAACATTTTGTGCTCACCGCCCGTGCTTCACATTGCAGATCCCCACCGTCCGTTCGAGCTCGTCACCGACGCAAGTGACATCGCTGTGGGAGCAGTACTGTTGCAGGACTTCGGGAACGGCCTCCAGCCAATCGCGTACGAGTCCCGCAAACTACACCCGCCCGAACGTAACTACCCGATACACGACCGCGAGATGCTAGCGATCGTGCACGCGTTCAAAGTCTGGCGATGTTACCTGACTGGCGCCGACGTGACAGTACGGACAGACCACCGCTCGCTACAGTACCTTCGCGCCCAACCGAATCTCAACCCACGACAGATTCGCTGGTTGGACTATCTTGAGTCCAATTTTCACTACACCGTCACGTAAAAAAAAGGAGCATCCAACATCGCCGACGCTCTCACCCGCCCCACCGCCCAACTCCACGCCATCCTACTCGCCCAGACCAACCCACTTTTAACTGGCCTATTCACCCACGGATACCGCACCGACCCATTTTTCACGACCGGAAATTCACAGCAACTGGCAGAAGCAAAAGGAGTCTATTACGTAAAAACAGGCACCAACCGCATTTGGGTACCCGCGTACTCACTACTGAGGGAGCTGCTACTGCAGGAGGCACACGACGGGATTACCTCGGGACATTTCGGGGTAGGAAAAACACGACAGCAACTGCAGCGGTATTATTACTGGCCGGAGCTGTTGACCGACGTACAGCAGCACGTGGGCTCGTGCCCTACGTGTCAGGTGATAAAGAGTTCAAGGAAGCGGAAGGCGGGTCAATTGCAGCCGATCCCACCGCCCGAACGCGCCTGGCAGCAAGTAACCATGGACTTCGTCACAGGGTTACCTTCGAACCCTGGGGGTAACGACGCGGTGATGGTCGTCGTGGATAGGCTGACGAAGATGGCACACTTCGCTGCGTGCAATAAGTCGATCTCGGCCGAGGAGACCGCTCGCCTGTTCATCGCAGCCGTTGTTCGCCTGCACGGGATACCAGCAGCAATTATCAGCGACAGGGACGCGAAGTTTACCAGCAACTTCTGGAAGAACCTCTGGGAGCAGTTCGGGACCAGGCTACAGTTCAGTTCGTCGTACCACCCCGAGACTGACGGCCAAACGGAGCGGACGAATCAGACGATGGAGCAATTGATTCGTGCCACGTGCGACGACCCCACGACCTGGGAGCAGCAGCTGCCGCTGATCGAGTTCGCGTACAACAACGCCACATCAGCCACGACGCAGCAGTCCCCGTTCTACCTGAACTATGGGCAAAACCCCACAGTGCCCATGACGCCGAGTCCGGACAACCTAACGCCACGTGCACAACAATTCGCCGAAATCCTGCAAGCTGCCCGCGCCAGAGCCGCCGAAGCAATAAAAAAGGCCAACGTCATCGCTAAGCGCAACGCTGATCGCCACCGCCGTCCTGTCACGTACCAATCTGGAGATTACGTGCTGCTTGACACGCAAAATCTGCGACTGCCCGACGTACCAAAATTACGACCGCGCTACTGTGGACCATTCCAAATCAGTCACATGATCACACCCGTCACCGCGCACCTACTGTTGCGAACCGACTGGTACATCAGCCCTTCGTTCCACGTCAGCCTACTTCGCCCATACATCCCGACCACAAGTCAACTGCCGCGTCACCGACCACAATCAATGACTCGCCCTGCATCAGAGCCGATCATCGAGCCCGACAAAATTCTGAGCCATCGGATCCGCCACCCCACGGGAATCAGGAGGATTGAATTCCTCGTTCGCTGGAAAGACCGCACGCCAACTGAAGATAGCTGGGTGCCCCTGAGCAACATCGAAAATCACCCTGCCCTGCAAGTGTACCTGAGGAGCCGGGGATTCCGCGATATACACGCACTCGCGTAGCGGAGGGGGCTTCTTAAGGGGGGGGGTAGTGTAAGGAATTTTCTCGGCATTCCTTACGGGGCCGACTACATCGCGTAAAGCAACAGCCGATTGTTCGCCCGTTACTGCTAACGGAACTTCGCCGACTTCGCGCACACTGTTTTGCCAAACCTCGCACTGCTGGCATGGCCGTATCGGCCTACGCTTCGGGACTAGCCCGAGCCTCGCTCCAGCGTAGCACTAGCAAGCTCGCACGCACCGCGTTACCGTTTTACATGTTTCGCGTATAAATGTTCGCTCATGCCTTCGCTCACATTTTGTACTCGTTTGACACCTTAGTGCAATTCTCGCTACTTCGATTCATTGCACCCGTAACACTGGGCCACTTCCAACCATTTTGATGGTGTTGGATGTGAATTTGCAGGGTCAAGAGAGAACGGGGAGACGTGGTGCGAGATGCATTGATCGCACGAGTGAGGCTTGCAAACAGCAGTGCCAATAGAAACTGCCCAAGATGATAAAATTACCGTTCCCATCTCTGTCCTCGTCCCCACCCCCCCTCTCCCCACCCCTACCCCCCTTTCTCACACTCCCATTTTCCCCACAATCCCCGTTTCCACCCCTCAGCCTTTCAGACCATGAAACCATCCTCGTCTTCCCCTCACCCCATTGTGCCCGCTTCATTTCCTAGTCTCCCTCTTTCCTTAGAGCAGCTTCTGCACCGCCGCGATGTCAGTTATTACTGTAACCAACTGTAACGAGCACGTTGCACAACACAGTCCTTTCTCCTCTTCCTCTCTGCTCCGCTCCCGCTGTCATTCCGCTTCCCTCCCGACTGATTCCACCAGACGCCTCTCGCAGCCCACACTTCAACTGAACTCCAACGATACTGAGGGTCTGGCTGTACGGACCGTGGTCCTTCCTCGGCGTATGACTGGCTCGTTATCCCAGCAACGGCGACACGACTGCATGAGGCACACACAACACGAGCGTGATTCGAGGGAGACTTTCAGCGACATGACTCACACTTACAGATTCGTGCGTCATTACTCGTGCCACAAATAAAGCCCATTGCCCAGCTGACATACTGTAACTGATTCAAGCCAAACGCTAAATCCATACAGTATTTGTAACTGTTCATTTTCTGTTCTAGACCCTACCCAAACGTTCTCAAAGATCTTGAGCCGCTCTGAAACGTATAGGACCTTACCGAACCGCATCGAAGTGGACTTCTGTTTCTCTGTGTGTACACCCATTTATTCGTTTGATGTACCCACGATTGTGCCGACAGCTCGGTACGTTCACATTGAAGGTTGGGAGCGATGCGTTTATGTCACAGAATCGATTCACACGCGTGATCAGTTCAGCATTGAATTGCTAAACGTTGAAGGAAATTGGTGGCAGAGCACTACAGTTACACGCATTCGCGCTAAAGACGAGACCAATTTTATTAGTTATGAATAGGTCAGACTGGCCTACAGATGCGAAACGTATGTATAGCCACATTTTGGGAGCAAGGGACGGCAATACGCAGGGAAATGTGACTCGCAGACGTTAAAAGCACTGGGCAAAAATGACAAGCACCTCCGAGCGAAACGCGTTGAGTGATCTAAACAAATAATTGGTTGTACTGTACTGTGTGAGCGACTGTGCGACAAGCTCGAGTGGAGATTTGATGTGACTTGGAGCCAAGTATTGTCCGTTTGGGTCCGCAGATCGTCGGCCAAGGACATTCCAGTCCGTCCGGGCCCTGGTGGCTTTCGAACCCACCAGGGCCCCCTCCTGGTGGAAAGGGGTTCCCACCAGGGCCGCACGCGGATGCAAGGGCTGTGCGACAAGCTCGAGTGGAGATTTGATGTGACTTGGAGCCAAGTATTGTCCGTTTGGGTCCGCAGATCGTCGGCCAAGGACATTCCACTTCATCCCACATGACATGAACAAAAGCTCCCCGAATCACCCTGCATTGGTTTCACTATAGACAGAGCGCCCGTGTACTGTACCATCAAGACGAAGGACGAATATGGCGGCGGGCGGCGCCGGCGAGGCTCTTTGTGTGAGTCATTGTGATTGGAAGCTGGAATTGCACGAGAGATAGCAAAGCATCAGATTTAGGGCGTATCCCCGGGTGGTGGCAGGGCCACTGTAGATGGCAGAGTTGGTGGCATGCGGGAAAACCGCATACCACCAACATTTTTACCGAGGCGCGCGCGACTCGTATTTGGTGGCATTGAAGTGACATTTTTGGGACATTACCCAATCACGCACCTGTATTCGCGCGCCAAATTTCCTGACACCAACCTGGCGTTTTATGTGTTCGTGGCAGGCTGCCATCTACAGTGGCCCTGCCACCACCCAGGGATACGCCCTTATTTGGCGGGAAATCTATGTGGCGTATGACGAGGCGCGCTCCCTCATCCTGCCTTGCCCAATCACTTGTCAAGAGCATTACACAGCTGCCATGGCATGCGTTCTTTGAAAGCAGTGCATGCCATCGTATATCTTCGAGCAAATTCAACACAAAGCAGGCAACCACTCCATTTTCTTGCACGAACTTCAGTTGTGCTATACCTCTCGCCAGCACTCGGCTCGCGCCGCAGTGAAGCTTTCCATACCTCGCATCAACTCTATCCCGGCTTACCGCCGGCTGCTCTGCATTCTGTGCTCTAAGCAAGCGAGGGACTCTCATCATGGCGGTGCAACTGAAGCAGTGGATGAAGTTCAAGCCGCCTATGGCTCTGGCTGGATGTGCTGTCGCGGAGCTCATCGGAACAATGTTCTTCGTCTTCCTCGGCGCCCTCTCGGTCTCCGTTTCCAGTAAGCCGCTTTTCCACAGTTGTCGCTCGCGTTGATTCGTCGTGTAACACATTCGATACTGAATTGGAATTTCTGTGTGATAACGAAGCGCACTTCAAACATACGTCTTGTGGTCGCTGCTGAGCTGCTGTTGACCAAACTCGCGGTCTTCGGTCTTCCCTAAACGCGCAGATGTCCGTGTTTTTTTTTTTCGATTCTTGATTCACTCTGCAGGTCCGTTTGGCAAGACTGAGCCTTTAACTCGCGTTATCGTCATCGCTTTGGGTTATGGCATTGGCTTGGCTCTCGCTGTCTGTGCAACCGCCGGCGTCTCCGGCGGCCACATCAACCCGGCCGTCACACTCTCGCTGCTAGCCGTCGGCCTCACCGACGTGCTGTCCGCCGCCGTTTACATCGTTGCGCAGATTCTCGGGGCCATTTTCGGTGCGGGACTTGCCAAGGCAATCGTCCCTTCTGAAATCAAAGTACGTTCTTCGCACTTCAGCACTGTCACGCGATTTCTTTATCTCTTTATTCGCAATGGCTTGCATTCATTGCAGTTTTGTTGTGAAATCGTGGGACTTTCTAGATACTTGAACAATTCCCGGATTTTTGCAAAATGGGTGGCATTTCACGCTCCGGTCCCCCTTCTCCCCCCTTTCCACCCTCATATTTTCCCACAGGGAATTCTCGGGCAAACGTCGCTGGGCCCGGGAGTTACAGTCGGCATGGGTTTTCTCACTGAGCTGCTCCTTACCGCGATTCTCGTCTACACCATTTTTGCCTGCGCCGTCGATCCTAGGGGCCCGGCCGCGCTCGCACCCCTGATGATTGGCATTTCCGTTCTTATCGACAATGCCGTGGGTGTGCCTCTGACTGGCGCGTCGATGAACCCGGCGCGTTCGTTTGGCCCGTCCGTGTGGACGGGCGACTGGGCGGATCAGTGGATTTATTGGTTTGGCCCGATAATCGGCGCGCTCCTTGTTGCAATTCCGTACACGGCTATTTATTTGATACCTCTCGCCAACAAGGGCGACGACGAGGGAGAAACCAAGGACGATGTTTAGAGCATCGGATGAGTTGCACGGCGCGGATTGCGGGCAACGGTGAGAGCTTTATGGCCACCTGGGCTTCGGATTAAGGAACAGGAGTTGCGCTCAAATTGGCTGGACGTGTTCGTAATTCGGGTTCCTCCGTGCGAGGAGGTTTTTGAAAGTGCGTCCAATTCTGTTGTCGTGGTAGTCAGGTGCTTGCTCTGAGATGAAATGTTAAAACCGAAATATAAAATAATGAACCCCTTCCCAACTCGAAATACGAAGCGAAACGCAAATGAGGCTGGGCTGTCAAAACACTGTTCTTAAAACCCAAGACCTGAATTACAAAAAGAAGAAGGCAAACTGTCACAGTTTGCCTCCCGAGCCAACAGTTGACTTCCCAAGCCTCTCTGGTTACCAAAAAACACCACGCAAAAAAGCAGGGAGTCGTAGAGCAGCACAGGTCTGGTTGGCGAGAGTCCCAACCGCTCTCTCCCTAAGGGAATAGAGGTGGGCTGTTGACAGTTAGAAAATAATTGTAATTCAGGTCAAGCTAAGACACTTACGCACGCGTGCACTCTTAGGTAGAACAGAGGAGCCAATAAAGCCAGAGGCCACTCCACAAAAAAAAAAGACGGAGAAACCAATTCTGTATGATGATCAAAGTGTTGCGATGGGCCCGCTTATTACTCAGCGTCGTCGTCAAAACCCTGCGCGACCGCGCAAACGCCAGTTTGCGGCGCATGCATCTCCCTCTCCGAGGTCGATAAGAATCGTACTGTCGATCGCTGTCATTTCCTGCGCATTCGCCCTATGTTTGCCTCAGCTTTATGCCCACTCCCGCGCTTCTTCGTCGACGTCACGTCCCGTCACCCACGCTTCCTCTCGTTGACGTCGCCGTGCCCGATGTCGCTACTTTTACGTCTCCAATCGCTCTCCTCCTATGTTGTCTATCGCTTTTCGCATCCCCCACGCTTCCCCTCTCATCAGCCACGCTTCCTCCCACCGTCGTCCTCTTCCTCCCACCGTCGACCTCCCTTCTCTCCCACCTCTTTCCACGTCGTCATCACTCCCCTGCCTATCACGTTCCCCCTCTTCACCATCGCGTCTCCACCGTCTCATCCCTTCCCATCGCATTTAGGGTCGTCGTTGTACTCCTTCCCTATTACCACCTTCTCTACTTCTGGTACCATCGCCCATGGTGACCACCCCACCCTTGCACCCTTATTTCCTTCTTCTCATTCTCCCTCCCCATCAGCCTCTCACCCACCCTGGGCGGGGAGGTATGGCGGGCTGGGCTGGGAGCTGGGAAAGGGGTCGTGACTCGTTCGCTGTGGGGTGGGGAAGGGTGCGTGGTCAGCAGCACCCACCCTTTTCTCTCTTGCACTGACCTCCTCTCCTCTATCGCACTAACCCCGCACGCATGGCAGGTGGTGATGAGGCTTTGGAGCAGAGTGTTGGGGGCACAGCCAGGGCAGCGCGCGCAGGCGGGCAGCAAGGAGTGCAGTGCTGCAGGGGGCGGGTTAGGGGAGCGGGGGAGGCGGGGATGAGGGAGAGAGGGTGCAGGGATCCTTCTATCCCCCTTATACCCTGCCACACTTTTACCTCTTGCCCTCCTCCCTTACTCCGTTCCGTCGTTCCCCCTCAGCCGTCCTCCTCTCCCTCTCCCTTCCTCCCTTCCTCCATCTCTTTGCCTCACTACCCTCTCTACCCTCTCTGTTGCCCGTCCTCCCTTCCTCCCGTCCTCCCTTCATCTCATCCGCCCATCATCTCATCCCCCCATCATCTCATCCGCCCATCATCTCATCCCCCCATCATCTCATCCCCCCATCATCTCATCCCCCCATCATCTCATCCGCCCATCATCTCATCCCCCCATCATCTCATCCCCCCATCATCTCATCCCCCCATCATCTCATCCCCCCATCATCACATCCCCCCATCATCTCATCCGCCCATCATCTCATCCCCCCATCATCTCATCCGCCCATCATCTCATCCCCCCATCATCTCATCCCCCCATCTTCTCATCCCCCCATCATCTCATCCGCCCATCATCTCATCCGCCCATCATCTCATCCCCCCATCATCTCATCCCCCCATCATCTCATCCGCCCATCATCTCATCCCCCCATCATCTCATCTGCCCATCATCTCATCCGCCCTTCTTCTGTGTCTCCCTTGCTCATTTTCTGCCTCCGTGCATTCTTTGTTCCCCACCGTGCATCAGAGTTTTTGGTTCGTGTCTATGCAGGTCTGCCATGCATCCAGTCGTGATGAGGATAGGGTTTGATGATACTAGTCGTCTACAATAGCTATACAGTGTATTGTTATTGATATTGGTTGGATGCGTCTCATAATACACATCACAAAACAAGACAAGACTAAATAAGCACAAGCACAAAGCTAGGAGTTGGTAACTTTTCAACCCACTCCTGTTGGGACTCATGGTCCTGGAAACCTGTACAAGCATGGGTTTGGAAGGAACGGGGAGGGAAGAGGGAATATGGCAGAATACACGAGGGGTGAAGGTGGAGGGCATGTATGGGAGGAGTTAGGCAGAGTGAGCGAAGCGGGAAAGAGAGTAAGCAGGGTGGAGAAGGGGGTAAGCAAAGGGGATAGCCAGTAAGCATGGGGCTAAGGAGGGACGTGAACAGGGGAAATGAGAGGACTTGGGGGGGAAAAAGGGTTGAATAAAGGGAATAGAGAGTAAACAAGGTGGAAAAATGGGTGAGTACAGGGGGAAAGAGAGAGAGCAGAGGGGGAGAGAGTGAACAAGAGGAAATAGGAACGATGGGTGAATACAGGGGGTAAGGGAGTGAGCAGGGGAATTTAGGAACGAGCACAGGGGGAAATAGACCGAGCAGGGGGGAAATGGGTGAGAAAGGGGGAAAGAGGGGTGAGAACAGGGGGAAAGAAGGTGAGTAGGGGGGGAAGAGAGTAAGCAAGGGGAAAGAGAGTGAGCAGGGGGCAAGTGAGTGAGCAGGGGAGGAGAGAGTGAGTATAGGAGTGAGCCGGGAAAACAGGGGATAGCAGAGGGGGTAAGAGAGCGTGAAGGCGAAAATGGGTGAGAAATGGGGAAAGTGGGGTGAGCACAAGGGGAGTGAGCAGAGTGAAAGAGGATGAGCAGGGCAAAGAGATTGAGGAGGGGGGAAGCGAGTGAGCAGGGGGAAAGAGAGTGGGGGGAGGGGGGGGGGGAGAGTGTGAGCCGGGTTAGAGAGAGAGAGAGCAGGGGGAAAGAGGTTGAGCAGGGGGGAACGGTTGAGTGAAGGGGGAAAGAGGGGTGAGAACACGGGGTGAACAGGAGAGGAGAGAGTGAAGGGTGGGGAAAAGAGTGGGCAGGGGGGAAGAGAGTGAGCAGTGGGAAAGAGAGTGAGCAGGGAGAGTGAGCAGGAGAGAGCGAAAGGCAATGGAAGGGGAAGTGAAGGCGACGGGTGGGGAAGCAAGTGTGAAGGGCGGGAAAGCGAGTGCGGCATGCGGGGAAGGCGACCGGAGGGGGAATTGAAGGCATCGGGGGGGAGAAGTGAAGGCGACGGAAGGGGGAATTGAAGCAGACGGAAGGGGGAATTGAAGGCGACGGGAGGGGGAAGAGAAGGCGACGAGAAGGGGAAGAGAAGGCGACGGGAAGGGGAAGAGAAGGCGACGGGAAGGGGAAGAGAAGGCGACGGGAAGGGGAAGAGAAGGCAACGGGAAGGGGAAGAGAAGGCGACGGGAAGGGGAAGTGAAGGCGACGGGAAGGGAAAGTGAAGGCGACAGGAAGGGGAAGTGAAGGCGACGGGAAGGGGAAGAGAAGGCGACAGGAGGGGGGGAAGAGAAGGCGACGGGAGGGAGGGAAGTGAAGGCGACGGGAGGGGGGGAAGTGAAGGCGAACACTCCGGGGGGGAAGTGAAGGCGACAGGATGGGGGGAAATGAAGGCGAACACTCCGGGGGGGAAGTGAAGGCGACGGGAGGGGGAGAAGTGAAGGCGACGAGAGGGGGAAGTGAAGGCGACGGGAGGGGGAAATGAAGGCAACGGAGCGGGGGGAGGGGGGGGAGTAGGGGCGACGGGGGGGGAGTGAAGGCGACGGGCGGATCGAAGGCGACGGGCTGGGGTCGCGAACGCGACGAGCTGCGGAAGCGATGGCGACGACGCCGGCGACAGAGAGCGGACGCATGGGACCTAGGGAAAGGAAGGCGAGGGCGAGGGGATTGTCACGCTTGGACGAACAGGTGCGATTCGATTTTCGCCGCGAGTTTATGCTACGCAGTAGTTGCACAATAACCTGCATTTCGACACAAAAATCTTTACCTAGCAAACACTAGCTTTGCGTGTCATCACCGAAATCGGCGCCACCCACATCCTAAGGCGCATCTGATCCCTTTTGAGTGAACGCCGACGCCCTGCCCTGTCTACAGGTATGCTCTATGCCTAATATCCTGCGTGCTGTCTCAAACTGTGCACAGTTTGGTATGCACGTGCTTTCTGGTTGTGGGAAGGACCCCACCCATCATGGGAAGCGAGAAACTTTTGTCGCAAATTGGTTTCGCGAGTGAAAGTATCTCGCAACCCAACCGAACCTCTCCGTGCCTGCCTCCTGAACCTAGTTTTTAGCGTTGACTTCCGTTGAGTAATTCAGGTCTTGGGCTTTAACCTTTTAACCCACGTGATTGGCTCCCGCCAAAAACGAAAAAAAATTGCCTCTCACGCGAGGAGTCGCCTTCAACGTGGAGCACCTGCACGACGGCTGCATGGCGATCGTTTTGACTTCAAGTTGGGCCTGGGGTACTGTTATGGGTGCAATGAATTGAGGTAGCTAGAATTGCACCAAATGAGTACAAAATGTGAGAGAAGGCATGAGCTAACATTTATACGCGAAACATGCAAACGGTAACGCGGTGCGTGCGAGCTAGCTAGTGCTACGTTGGAAGCGAGGCTCGGGCTAGTCCCGAAGCGTAGGCCGACACGGCCGGTCCAGCGGTGCGAGGTTTTAGAAAACAGTGCGCGCGAAGTCGGCGAAGCCCGTTAGAAGTAATGGGCGAACAACGGCTGCTGCTGTACGCGGTGTTGCAGGGTGCGCTAAGGAATATCGAGAAAAATCCTTACACTACCCCCCCCTCCTCCCCCCCCCTCAAGAAGCCCCCTCCGCTACGCGAGTGCGTGTATATCGCGGAAACCCCGGCTCCTCAGGTACACTTGCAGGGCAGGGTCAGGGCCCAAAATAGGTTTAGGCTCACTCCTTCAAATCAGGGTGGCTGTAAGGAAAATTCCTTTTCCTTACTTCGCATCCCTGCTCAGCGCATACATCACTGTAGCACCACAGTCAGGACCGTTACCACTCACAACTCTCGCATAGACAATCCGCCCGCCACCTTCGCACGTCGCATCCCGACCTCACGGCTCGGCGGGTAACCCGCGCTCCGGGCCTCCGCTTCGACATTTTTCCCAACCTCAGTCCCAGGCAAGGTTTTTTTTTTTTTTTTTTTCACTACTCGGATTTCCAGAGCTGTTTTCTAGAGAACTCTGAAATTCAGGGTTCATTATGAGCGTTACTCTGATTTGTCAGAGAAAATTTAACTTATGAAAAATCTACTCTGGGCACCCAGTGTACCTATTTTTCCAACTCTGAGTGTCCTCTCAAGTATAGAACCCAGGCCCTCTACACTCCTACCAAAAGAATTGTTACAATCCCAAGTGGGACTTAGCGAAGGATCGCTCAGGGTTGATCGCGGAGTAGTGTTGCAGCGGAAGTTTGAATCTCAGGTCAGAGTGAATGTAAATGACTGAGTTGATAATAACATGCATACATCGAGTTTATATAAGAGTACAAGGAAATACGAAAGAACCTAGACTAGCCATGTACTCTAAGGGGTACATTCCCTTATTACAATTGAATTCAAAAACCGTGCGGCGCGGGAACCCGTTCAAAAACTGTTCCCGCTCTTTTCACTTTAAATGTTTCTGCCTGCATCGGTCTTGATCTGACGGTTGGTGCGTCGCTTCGGCTCTTCTGACTCCTCAACTTCGTACTCGGTAGAGTCGGCTCCTGCAGCATACAGGAATGCCTTCTCATAAAACTTCGCATCGTAACAAGAATTAAGCGTTGTGCTACGCGCTCACCACTTTATTGGATTACTGAGTTTTATATATCCATTAAGCCTACCCATCTTCCAACAATTGGGGGGGGGAGGGGGGGGGCGGGGGGGGGGGGGGGGGGGGTTTGTGACACGGTGAAATGCCTATACCCTGTACAGAGAAAAGTATATCGGTCATAAATATACACTGGTCTCTCAGAGTAGCTAAAATCAGAACCCTGACAAATCAGAGAAAACTTATCCTCCAAAAAAATTACCCAGACACGTCAGAGTGACCTCCTAAAAACCACTCTGATTTTCAGAGAAACAGAGTAATTTACTCTGATAAAAAAACCCTGGTCCCAAGCCCGTCGCGCGACAACCACAGTCCATTACCGTTACCACTGTAGTTTCGCTATATATTCTTCGCTCATGCCTTCGCTCATTGTACTCTTGCTTCGATAGTGCAATTCTCGTTCGTTCACTCAATTGCACCCGTAACAATGGCATGCCCTCCGTACCCTGACTGTTAGGGTAATTTTTGTGATACACTGTTTACAGCAGTGTAAAAATTTGGGTACACTAATTTCAGCAGGGTATGTTTTCCGGTACACTGATGCATTAGCAAATACTTAGAAAGGTGAAAACAGTCGAACGACGAACGTGAGAAAGGTGAGAGAATGGCGAGCAGGGCCTCGGGAGTCAGCGACAAAAGGCTGATTTGGGTAAAAAAAGGCTGAGATTTCAGACCTTTTTTAGAACTGTGGCTGATTTTTCAGCATATTTCTGTGAAAAAACAGGAAAATTTATGTGATTTGTAGTGTAAAATGGCATAAAATGGCAGAATTTTCTGATTTTTAGCATATTTTTTTGTACCAACTCTGATTGGTTCAGCCTAGCTCAAAATCAATCTGAGGCCCTGATGGCGAGAGGCTGAGAGACCCCTTGGGAATCAGAAAGCCCAAGAAGGCCCAAACACCACGGTTTCCGCGCACCGCGGGAAGTGCATGGCGGAGGCTGCAACACCACAATCACTGCCATGTGATGCAAACGACAGCACGAAACCCACCTGTCGCGCATTTTGACACCGTTGGCAGTGAGCGATGCTTCGGGAACGCCCTACGTTGCTTGGATGTTGCTCAACAGACCAATCGTAGACGTGCCCGTGCAGCCGCGCTGCTTCTACATTGGCGCGCTAGTGGGCATACCGTACAAATGCTCCAGTGGGTCCGTGGTGAAATTTGTCTTTGCGCGTACTGTGGCGGAATACCCAGTTAGAAGAAGATCCGATAAAAGTGTGTCAGAACATTATAGCTTATACATTAGTGTAGGCTGTAGTGGGGTAGCCCATAAGGGGTACAACCCAATTAGCGTTAGTACTTGTACCCAACTCTTTCATAGTTCATTCATTCTCTCGTTTCATTCTTCACATGGTATAGAGCTGGTTCCCTCGTGGGAACTGTTCATAGGACCCACCAATTTTTTTTCCTGCCCGGAGCACGCTTGGCCCCTGTTCGAGTCGCGCCCCGAGTCGTCTCCCCTCTAGCGGCCTCTAGCGGCCCCTAACGGCCCCGTCACGCTGCCCTTTCGGCCCCGTCGCGCCGCCCTTGCGGCCCCGTCGCGCCGCCCTTGCGGCCCCGTCGTGCCACCCTTGCGGCCCCGTCACGACGCCCTTACGCGGCCCCGTCACGCCGCCCTTGCGGCCCCGTCGCGCCACCCCTTACGCGGCCTCGTCGCCACCCTTGCGGCCCCGTCACGCCGCCCCTTACGCGGCCTCATCTCCGCCCTTCCCTTCAGCCCTAATGCCGCCCTTTCGCGGCCTCGCCGCCCGCCCTAAAGCGGCCCCGTCGCTGCCCTCCAGCGGCCCCGTCGCCGCCCTTCAGAGGCGTCGCCGCCCACCCTTTCAGCGGGCCCCGTCGCCGCCCTTTCAGCAGCCCCGTCGCCGCCCGCCCTTTCAGCGGGCCCCGTCGCCGCCCTTTCAGCGGCCCCACCGCCGCCCTTTCAGCGGCCCCGTCGCCGCCCGCCCTTTCAGCGGGCCCCGTCGCCGCCCTTTCAGCGGCCCTTCGCCGCCCTTCCCTCGGCCCGTCGCCGCCCTTTCAGTGGCCCGTTGCCGCCCTTTCAGCGGCCTCTCGCCGCCCTTTCAGCGGCCCTGTCGCCGCCCTTCCACGGCCCCGTAGCCGCCCGACCGCCGAGCCGCCCAGCAGCCGAGCACCCGAGCCGCACCGCAGCCGAGCCGCCCGACCGCCGAGACGCCCAGCAGCCGAGCCGCCTGACCGCCGAGCCGCCGAGAAGCCAAGCCGCCCGACCGCCCCACTTGCCTGGTAAGAGCAGAGTCTTTGCCACTGCCCTGCACTGCCCCACTGTACTCACTGCCTGTCGACTGCTGTTATGGCCTCCCCTAGCGTTCTCACCTTTGACGCTGAGGGTCGGGCAGTGGACTTTGAGGTCTGGGTAGATGATCTGCAGCTTTTCCTGCAGTGCGATAGGGCAAACGGCCTCTCCCTGTTTAACCTCACTTCTGGTGCCTCTCCTGCCCCTGCTGCTGATGCTGATCCCACTGTTCGCTCATAGTGGGCAACGCGCGATGCTGCTCCTCCCCTTGCTGTGCGCTGCCACTTACCGACCACTAAGCGTGCACACTTTAGCCAGTACAAGAGTGCTCAGACCTTGTACGACGCTGTAGTTGCACGCTACTCTTCCCTTGCCACTACTGCACTGAGCCGCCTCATGCTACCGTACCTCTTCCCTGACCTTGCTGTCTTTCCCACAGTCGCTGACCTCATTACGCACCTCCGCACTAGTGAAACTCGCTACCGCGCTGCGCTTCGTGCTGAGTTCTGCGCCAAGAACCCCCCCCCCCATGTACATCACCCTCTACTACATAGTCACCCGGCTCCCCGACTCTCTTCGTGTAGTCAGGGACCACTTCCTCTCAGTTTGCCCCACCACTCTCACAGTTGACCTCCTCGAGAAGGCCCTCCTCGCAGCGGAGAAGAGCATAGTTGTTCGAACATTATAGCTTATACCTTTGTGTAGGCTGTAGTGGGGTAGCCCATAAGGGGTACAACCCAATTAGGGATAGTACTTGTACCCAACTCTTTCATAGTTCAATCATTCATTCTCACTTATCGTCATGGTATCGAGCAGGTTCCCGAGTGGGAATACTGCCTAGGGCCCACCACGTACTTTCTCTCCTCTGCCCGGAGCGCGCTTACCTCCTACACTGAGTAGCGCCCCGAGACGCCTTTTTTTGGCCGCCCTTACTGCCCCTCGAGCCGCCCTGCTTAGGCCCCGTCGGCCCCGCTTAGGCCTCGCTTAGGCCTCATTGCGGCCCCGCTTAGGCCCCGTCGGCCCCTCCCTTCGGCCCCGTCGGCCCCTCCTAGGCCCCTGTCGGCCCCGCTATAGCCCTGCTGCGGCCCCGCTTAGGCCCCGTCGGCCCCTCCCTTCGGCCCCGTCGGCCTCTCCTAGGCCCCGTCGGCCCCGCTATAGCCCCGCTACAGGCCCCGATTGGCCCCGCTTAGGCCCCGTCGGCCCCGTTGCGGCCCTGCTACGGCCCCGCTTAGCCCACCGTCGGCCCTGCTTAGGCCCCGTCGGCCCCACTATAGCCCCACTTAGGCCCCGTCGGCCCCGCTGTGGCCCCGTTTAGGCCCCGTCGGCCCCTACCTCGGCCCCGTTGCGGCCCCACTTAGGCCCCGTCGGCCCCGTTGCGGCCCCACTTAGGCCCCGTCGGCCCCCCATTTCGGCCCCGCTACAGGCCCCGTCGGCCCCAATTCGGCCTCGCTACAGGCCCCGCTACGGGCCCAGTCAGCCTCGTCGGCCCCACTTCAACCCCGCTACAGGCCCCGCTACTGGCCTCGTCTGCCCCACTTCGGCCCCGCTACAGGCCCCGCTACAGGCCCCGTCGGCCCCACTTCGGCCCCACTTAGGCCCCGTCGGCCCCCACGTCGGCCCCGCTATAGGCCCCGTCGGCCCCGCGTCGGCCCCGCTACAGGCCCCGTCGGCCCCCACTTCAGCCCCGCTACAGGCCCCGTCGGCCCCACTACGGCCCCGCTAAGGCCCCGTCGGCCCCACACTGCGGCCCCTGCTACGGCCCCGTCCCAGCCGCCGGACTGCCAGGCACCCGAGCCGCCAGGCAACCGAGCCGCCCAGCTGCCGAGCCGCCCGACAGCCGAGCCGCCCCGCAGCCGAGCCGCCTAGCAGCCGAGCCGCCCCGCAGCCGAAGCGCCCAGCAGCCGAGCCGCCCAGCAGCCGAGCCGCCCTGCAGCCGAGCCGCCCGTGCAACTGAGCCGTCCGGCAGCCGAGCCGCCCTACAGCAGAGCCGCCGAGCAGCCCGATCGCCCCACCTGCCTGGTAAGAGCTCAGTCTCTGCCTCACTGCGCTCACTGCCTGCCTACTGCTGTAATGGCTTCCCCTAGCGTTCTCACTTTTGACGCTGAGGGTCGGGCAGTGGACTTTGAGGTCTGGGTAGATGATCTGCAGCTTTTTCTGCAGTGCGATAGGGCAGACGGCCTCTCCCTGTTTGACCTCACTTCTGGTGCCTCCCCTGCCCCTACTGCTGATGCTGACGCCACTGTTCGCTCACAGTGGGCCACACGTGATGCTGCTGCTCGCCTTGCTGTTCCCCGTCACTTACCGACCACTGAGCGTGCGCACTTTAGCCAGTACAAGAGTGCTCAGACCTTGTACGACGCTGTAGTTGCACGCTACTCCTCCCCTGCCACTACTGCACTTAGCCGCCTCATGCTTCCCTTCCTCTTCCCTGACCTTGCTGCCTTTCCCACTGTCGCTGACCTCATTACGCACCTCCGCACTCTTGACACTCGCTACCGCGCTGCGCTTCCTGCTGAGTTCTGCGCCAAGAACCCCCCTCCATGTACATCACTCTCTACTACATAGTCACCCGGCTCCCTGACTCTCTTCGCGTAGTCAGGGACCACTTCCTCTCTGTTTGCCCCACCACTCTCACCGTTCACCTCCTCGAGAAGGCCCTCCTAACGATAGAAAAGAGCATAGTCGTTGTAGGAGCCTCTCGTGGTGACCCTCGCACCCCCATCTTCGAGGGGTGTTCTCCCTCCCCCCTCTTGCCCTCTGTCGCCTCTGCTGCTGCGGCCGACCTCGTTGGTTTCGAGTCGGTCGGCCCTGCGTCTGCCCTGAGAGGGAGACGCCGCACCGGCAAGGGCAAGGGGGGCAAGGGCTCTGGAGGGGGTGGAGGGGGCGGTGGAGGTGGTGGTGGAGGCGTTGGAGGGAGTGGGGGTGGTGGTGGTAGTGGTGCCGGGGGTGGTGGTGGCGGCGGCAGCAGTGGAGGCGGCGGAGGCGGTGGAGGTGGCGGAGGGAGCGGAGGCGGCGGAGGTAGTGGAGGAGGCAGAGGTGGAGGAGGCGGCGGAGGCGGCGGAGGCGGCGGTGGCGGTGGCGGCGGCGGAGGCGGTGGTGGTGCGAGTCGCGACTCTGCGCCGAGGAGTGGCTCCGGTGGTGGTCAGCGCCAGCAGCAGCACCGGAGCGAAGTGACCATGTCCCCTCAGCAGCTTCGTGAGTGGTACACTGCACGCCAACGAGGTGGGGGTTTTGGTCCCTGCTCCTACGTTCTCCGTACCGGCGACCGCACTGGTGAGCAGTGCGGAGGTCCGCACTCCACCCAACGCTGCTTCGGCTCTTGGTGCTAGTGCGTCTGCTGCCCCAGGTGCTGGTGAGTCTGCTCTCTCTGGTACTGCTTCGGCTCAGGCCCTCCACACCTTCACCCTGGACTCGAGTGCGTCCCGCTCCTTCTTTCGAGACCGCACCACTCTTACGCCGCTTAGTCGGCCGGTTGCAGTCTCCCTCGTAGACCCCTCTGGGGGTCCTGTCCTTGCTAGCTTCTCCACTGTTCTTCCGTGCCCTGCAGCCCCCTCTGGCACCCTGTCTGGTCTGTACCTCCCCTCGTTCTCTACGAACCTGGTGAGTGGAGCGGACCTACAGGATCGAGGGGTTGACCAGTTCACTCCTGCGAGTCAGCGAGTGACCCACTGCATGTGTGCTCGGACAGGTCGACACCTGGCCACGTTCAGTCGTCGGCCAGGGTCGAGCCTGTACACCCTTACTACTGCGTCTTCTCCTATTGCTGCGTCTGCCCAGGTAGCTGCGTTGAGTCAGGTGTTTGCTGCGGCGTCCAGGTCTGGTCCTGAGTCTGCCCCCTGCTCGTGTCGTCTGCTGTCCCACCAGACTCTCCTTTGGCACCACCGCCTTGGTCACCCCTCCTTGCCTCGTCTCCGAGGCATGGCCTCCCGTGTCCTTGTCTCTGGTCTCCCTCGGTCTCTCCCTCCCCTTCCTCCGGGGCCGGGCCCTACCTGCGTCCCCTGCGTCGAGAGGCGACAGCGTGCCTGCCCCTCACTCATCCGAGTTTCCTCCGACAGAGGCTCCACTGCAGACGTGTGGGGCCCAGCCTGCGTCAGTGGGCAGGGACGAGAGCGGTTCTTTCTGCTGGTTTTTGAGGACTACTCGCGTTACACCACGGTCTTCCCCTTGTGCAGCAAGGGTGACGTCACTGAGGTGTTGATCGATTGGATCCGCGCAGCTCGTCTCCAGCTCAGAGAGAGTTTCGGCTCGGACTTTCCTGTTCTGCGTCTGCACTCGGACAGAGGCGGGGAGTTTTCTTCTGCCCGTCTGGGATCCTTCTGTTGTGCACAGGGCATCCGCCAGACCTTCACGCTTCCGACCTCTCCACAGCAAAATGGGATTGCTGAGCGCCGCATTGGCATGGTCATGGACGTCGCTCGTACGTCCATGATGCATGCGGCTGCCCCCCATTTTCTGTGGCCGTTTGCGGTTCAGTACGCCGCGCATCAGCTCAACCTTCAGCCCCGGGTCTCCTTGCCGGAGACCTCCCCCGCCTTGCGGTGGACCGGGAAGGTTGGCGATGCGTCTGCGTTTCGGGTCTGGGGATCTAGGGCGTTTGTCCGCGACTCGTGTGCGAACAAGCTGTCCCCCCGTGCTGTTCCCTGCGTCTTCCTTGGCTTTCTCCCGGACGCGCCTGGCTGGCGGTTTTACCACCCCACCTCGCGCCGTGTTCTGTCCTCCCAGGACGTCACCTTTGACGAGTCGGTGCCTTACTACCGTCTCTTCCCCTACCGCACTGCGCCCCTCCCCCCGCCGCCGCTCTTCCTTGCGCCAGGTGCTACCCAGGTAGACCCCCTCCCTCCTCAGGGTCCTGCCCCTTCTGGTGTGTCCCAGGTAGACGCAGTCGAGCCTGTCGAGGTAGCTGTTGACTCTAGTGCTGCTAGAGGTGCTGAGCCTGCGGGTGCCGGGTCTGCGGGTGCCGGGTCTGGGGGTGCTGAGACTGGGGGTGCTGAGCCTGGGGGTGCTGAGACTCGGGGTGCTGAGCCTGCGGGTGCTGAGACTGGGGGTGGTGAGCCTGGGGGTGCTGGGTCTGCTCGTGTGGCCGCCGGCGGTGCTTCGTCGAGGCGGGAGCCGCTCTCTCCACAGGAGTCGCGCGATTGGTTCGCCCGCCGCTGGAGACGTGCTGCTGAGTCTGGGGGTGCTGCTGACGCTACTCGAGTTGGTCCTGCTGGCGGTGGAGCTGCTGGCGGTGTTGGTGCTGCTGGAGGTGGAGCTGCTGAGTGTGTTGGCGCTGGTGTTGGCGATGGTGTTTCTCCTGGTGCTGGTGCGTCTGGGGGTGCTGCTGAGGCAGCTGGTGCTGACGGTTCTACAGGAGTTGGAGCTGCTGGGGGTGTTGGCGCTGGCGTTGCTGCTGGCACTGGTACTTCTCAGGGTCCTGGAGTTGGCGCTGTTGGAGCTGGAGGTTCTGCTGGCGCTGGTGCTGCCACTGGGGCTCCTGGTGCCGTCCTTGCTGGTTCTGGAGGCGCTGCGCGGCCGAGGCCGTACTTCGTTCCCCTCCTGGAGCAGGTTCTTGGTCTCCCACCCTCTACTGGTCCTGCTCCTCCCTTAGAGTGTCTGCAGCCTGTCCCGTCACAGTCCCAGTTACAGCCCGCCTCCCCGCTACCTACTCCTTCTCCCTACACTGGTCCTACTAGAGGTCTTGCTGAGCGTCGTGAGCCTGCGTCTCGTCCTGCGTCGCCTGTTCGTGTTGCTCGCACTAGTGGTCGTACTGCGCGTCCGCGTCCTCCTGCGGTCCCCGGCACACACCTGATGGCACTGCGTCTGTCCACTGCTCCTCTGCGTGTCCCTTTGCCGTCTCCTCCAGAGTCCTCTCTTCCTTTGCTTGCTGACCCGGAGTCCGGCTCCCTTCGTGCTGCTAGTCCTTCGTTCACGCACCTTCTTGCTACTGTTGTCATTGACCCTACCTTTGAGTCCACTGCTGCGTCTGCTCTAGTTGCTGAGCTTGTCGACTTCGCTGCTCGCTGCCGTCTAGACTACGCTGCCAGTCTTGCTGCTGCGTCTGAGTCTGTCTGTCCTCCGTCCGTCGGGGGTGAGTGTGCTCTTAGCACGGACGTCGTTGAGGACAGCCAGGAGGAGTTCCAGTGTTTTGCGACTGCTTTGCCCCATCTCGTGTCCACGCTGATTGCCCCTGAGGGAGATCCGGATGCACCAGACATCCCGACTCCTCGATCGTACGCTAAGGCGATCGAGGGTCCCTACTCTTCTCAGTGGCAGTCGGCCATGGACGCAGAGATGGCTTTCTCGAAGTCCACAGGCACCTACGTCGACGAGGTTTTTGTCAACGGGAGTTGTGTGTTGGCCCCGTCCACGCTTGGGCGGAGCCGACTTCATGGTGGGGTGTACGGAAGATAGAGCCGACTTGCAGCAGTGGGCGACGCCAACTTGGACAAGCTGGTCGACGGGGTTGGTCGACTTGCTCGGCGCCACTGCAATGCCGCCGACTTGGGATGCCGGCGGCCGACTTCAACTGGTGGTCGGCGATGTGGCACGTCGACCTGGAAGTCGGCGCCGACTTGCAAGGTCACCGGCTTGCAAGGTCACCGACTTGCAAGGTCACCGACTTGCAAGGTCACCGACTTGCAAGGTCACCGACTTGCAAGGTCACCGACTTGCAAGGTCACCGACTTGCAAGGTCATCGACTTGCAAGGTCGCCGACTTGGGAGGTCGCCGAGCACATACAGGAGCAGCTGGTCGACATAGTTGCCCGGTCGACCAGGATACCTGGGTGACGAGGTTCTGCGAAGGAGTGCGACGGTCGCCCAGGCAACGTTGGCGAGCCCGACCTGGGTGGTGGTATCCCGAGGTCGACCTGGCGGATCAGGTGGAGCCGTCAGCACAAAGATGACTTGGTGCGTGCGCTGTTCAGGTGACAAGGCTTAGCCCTCCAATCATCAACGATCACCTGCAAAGTAGGTGCGCTGCTGTTCTATGGGAGCAACACTGGCACGCCGTCAACCTGCAGCGTTGGCACGCTGTCAACTTTGCACTGCTGGAGCGCGGTCGACCAAGTCGTGCTGGAACGCGGTCGACCATGCTGTGCTGGCAGTCAACCAACCTGAATGCTAGCTCTGATGTAGTCTTGCAATGCCAACTTGATTGTACCATTGTTATCAACTTTCTCTAGTGAAACTCTTGCCAAATTGCTCCGTGAACTAGCAAGCAGTGTGAGCACTAGGAAAACGACTAAGAACCAACGAACGCAGAGATCACACGATCACCCGTGCCTAGCCCATAGTCTAGCTCCCGTTGTAGTAATTATCTCCGCAGTTCCCCCACCTGGGGCGAACATCATCAGTGGGATGTGGATCTTCTGGGTGAAGCGGCCGCCTGGCTCTCCGCCTGTCTTCAAGGCGCGTTACGTGGCTCGAGGCTTCAGTCAGCGGCAAGGAGTTGACCACTTTCAGACCTTCTCTCCCACCCCGAAGATGACCACTCTTCGGGTGCTGCTGCACATAGCCGGTCAGCGCGACTACGAGCTTCACTCTCTTGACTTCAGCACAGCTTTCCTGCAGGGCAGCCTGCACGAGGAGATCTGGCTGCGCCGCCCTCCTGGCTTCACTGGGTTGTTTCCTCCTGGTACCCAGTGGAGCCTCCGGCGGCCAGTCTATGGTCTCCGCCAGGCGCCCCGTGAGTGGCACGACACACTGAGGACTACACTTGCGGCTCTTGGATTTGCTCCTTCTACAGCCGACCCGTCGCTGTTTCTACGCACCGACACCTCTTTGCCGCCGTTCTACATCCTCGTGTACGTCGACGACTTGGTCTTTGCCACTGCTGTCATTGCTGGACTCGCCCATGTGAAGTCCGAGCTGCAGAATAGACACACGTGCATGTGAAAGAAACTAGAACGAGAATGAATGAACTATGAATGAAGTGAGTACATATAGGAAGCCCTGATTGGGTTGTACCCCCTATGGGATACCCCACTATAGCCTACACAAATATATAAGCTATAATGTTCTGACACACCCCCATAGGCAAAGTGGGGGAGAACAAGGGGTCACAAGACCAGTACAAGTAAAGCAAAGCAAAGCTTAGGGTGGATCACAAAGTCACCACACATTCCGAGCACAAATTCAAAGGCCAGAAGGCCAGTTCACATGCAAGATCACATATATATATATATACACAAGAGGCTAAGCAAGCAAGAGCAAGAGTATATATATGTGACAGTACAAGCGAGGTCAAGAAGTGAGCAAGTGAGGCAAGACAGGCACAAGACCCAACTGAGTGCAGAAGCGCTGATGATCACAAGGCGCAAGTGCCTTGGTGAAGACATCAGCAGTGTTG